CTCTGGAGGAGCAACGCGGGGGAGTTGAGTGGATCATGGCTGGAGCCCGTAAATTAATGGGGGGGGGGCTTAAGGGGGGCTCTGGAGGCTCCGAGTGGGGGATATAAAGGGGTGGAGAAATGGCGAACACAACATGTAAACACAAGTGTTTGCATGACGATGATCCCTTGCAAAATACCATTCAACATTTGCTGATTTCCTCAGGCAAGCCTCAGCTTGTCCGCAGTAGCGGTGGGGAGGGGTGCGGGAATCGACGATTGCTTGTGCACAATCCCAACTGAGTTAATATGCGGTGCAATTGTGCAACTTTGGTTAAATTTTAGACCGTGACTTGCCGGCACGCAACAAGCCCAGCGTCTCGCGGATGGCGCCGCGGGCCATTTAGCATCCTACCCGCAGCAACAGACGGGCGCGTACCACCACGGCTAATATACACGCGGCAGTACTCAAATAACCAAGCCAAAGCCGGGGCCGTTTAAAGAAGGCATTTATATTCTGTACATATGTACACACGCGCACACAGAGAGAGAGAGGGTTTCGAAGACGGAGACAAAATCTTGAAATGCGCGTGGACGCAGACGCTCCACCGAGGCCAATTGCTGACCAGTGATGTCTGTGCGAGAGCGAGCACGAAGTGGCGTGGTTCACCAAGCAGCCAGCACCGGCCATGCTCTCAGTGATTAAGCATTCGTCACAATAGGGTGCTCATCTCAATAACAAGGGAGCTGTCCCGTGGTGCTTATAGGCGTACACGGTAATGTAGAGAGGGAGCTGTATGTGGTGCTGATCGGAGTACACGGTAATATATAGGGAGCTGTCCATTGTACTGATCGGAGTATGCGGTGATGGAGAGAGGGAGCTGTACATTGTACTGATCGGAGGATGCGGTAATGTGGAGAGGGCGCTGTCCCTGGTGTTAATGTCAATAGAGAGGGCGCTGTCCGTGGCACTGATATCAATACAGAGGGCGCTGTCCGTGGCACTGATATCAATAGAGAGGGCGCTGTCCGTGGCACTGATATCAATAGAGAGGGCGCTGTCCGTGGCACTGATATCAATAGAGAAGGCGCTGTCCGTGGCACTGATATCAATAGAGAGGGCGCTGTCCGTGGTACTGATATCAATAGAGAGGGCGCTGTCCGTGGCACTGATATCAATAGGGAGGGTGCTGTCCGTGGAACTGATATCAATAGAGAGGGCGCTGTCCGTGGTACTGATATCAATAGAGAGGGCGCTGTCCGTGGCACTGATATCAATAGAGAGGGCGCTGTCCTTGGTACTGATATCAATAGAGAGGGCGCTGTCCGTGGTACTGATATCAATAGGGAGGGCGCTGTCCGTGGTACTGATATCAATAGGGAGGGCGCTGTCCGTGGTACTGATATCAATGGAGAGGGCGCTGTCCGTGATACTGATATCAATAGGGAGGGCGCTGTCCGTGGCACTGATATCAATATGGAGGGCGCTGTCCGTAGTACTGATATCAATAGGGAGGGCGCTGTCCATGGTACTGATATCAATAGAGAGGGCGCTGTCCATGGTACTGATATCAATAGAGAGGGCGCTGTCCGTGGTACTGATATCAATAGGGAGGGTGCTGTCCGTGGTACTGATGTCAATAGGGAGGGCACTGTCTGTGGTACTGATATCAATAGGGAGGGTGCTGTCCGCGGTACTGATGTCAATAGGGAGGGTGCTGTCCGTGGTACTGATATCAATAGGGAGGGCGCTGTCCGTGGTACTGATATCAATAGGGAGGGCGCTGTCCGTGGTACTGATGTCAATAGGGAGGGTGCTGTCCGTGGTACTGATATCAATAGGGAGGGCGCTGTCCGTGGCACTGATATCAATAGGGAGGGCGCTGTCCGTGGTACTGATGTCAATAGGGAGGGCACTGTCTGTGGTACTGATATCAATAGGGAGGGCGCTGTCCGTGGTACTGATATCAATAGGGAGGGTGCTGTCCGTGGTACTGAGGTCAATAGGGAGGGCGCTGTCTGTGGAACTGATATCAATAGGGAGGGTGCTGTCCGTGGTACTGATGTCAATAGACGGTGTTGTCCGTGGTCCACATATCCGTCAATGGCTGCCCTTGAGTTTTTCTGTTTGACGAGTGATGGGTTATCTTGTTCAGTGGCAGAGTGATGAGTTCAACTCCTGGTTCAGTGAATGTGGAGGGCAGAGTTCAACACCCGTTTGAGTGACGGACACCAGCGATGCGGCTTCCAACATAACGCACGGAGAACAACAGCGGCACGAGGTTCAATCCCTGGTACAGTGGCGACGTTAATGAGAGCAGCATACCCGCCCCTTATTAACGGTGAATGAGTTAACCACCCGTTTCACGCAATGGAGGGTACATTACTTCAGCTGCGTGGCTGAGTGAGAGAGATGCAGTCACAAGTTAAAACTTCAACACGTACAAAACAATGGGGCCGTTTTCTCGGCAGTCATTATAATAATGGTTTGCTAAAATGTACGCATACATCGCTGAATTTGCACCGATTAATCGGTCTTGTGAGCACGAGTCAGTGACAGCCATGGCACGTGACGTTCAAGTCATAGAAGATTATCAATGTACTTATTGTCACGCATCATCACGAGCCACGGTCTGTCCACTGCCGGATGAAGACGTCACCATCATCATCACGCTGATCATCATATCATCTTCATCATAAGCCATGGGCTGTTCACTGCAGGATCAAGACATCGCCATCATCATAATAACAATCATCATCACGAGCCACGGTCTGTCCACTGCCGGATGAAGACGTCACCATCATCATCATCATCATCACGCTGACCATCATCATCATCTTAAGCCATGTTCTGTCCACTGCTGGATAAAGGCCTCCGCATGCCATCACCGTCCCTCGCACGCCACGTGGTGGCTCAGGCCGCACGACCGCACGTGGCTCCGCCTCTGCTGCGGGCCTCCCCTCGGGGGCACGAGGGCTGGCGAGGGCTGGAGGGCGAGGGGGTGACGGGCGCCGCGTGTGTGCGCTGGCGATGCCGTGGTTGGCGTGCGCAGCCCAGCGTCGATGCGAGGCGGACGGCGGAGGCGGCCGGCGGGAGGGAATTCCCACGTGCGGAGTGAAGACCGGGCGCGATGTTGTCCCCTCGTTGAGCGTCTTCCTCCACACCAACACCCCACCTCTCTCCCCACCCCCCCCCCCCCACGCCCTCCCCCACCCCACCCCCCATATCCATCAGTGTCCACATAGGTCCATAACCAAGGATGCCTCGGTTGCCATGGCGATAGATGAGGGGTGGGGTGCAGGGGGTTGCCGAGCGACCGAGGTCACACGGGCATGGCCAGCTCGTCGTACTCGTCCTGCCCCTCCTCCTCGTTAAACGTCGGCTCACTCTCCTCTCCGTCCAGCTAGAGGGGGGGGGGGGGGGGCAAGAGGAGGGAGATGGAGAAGAGAGGGGAGGGAATGTGGTGAGTGATGGGGATAACAACAACAACAACACGCTCAACTGGTATAGCATCTTCCCGCTCACTGGCAGTCAGTCGCCTCCTTATCACTCTGCTATCGCTACTGCCATGGTTACTGTGTTGAACCAGCACCATCAACCACACTGCACATCCCAACACCATTCACTCATCCACCCACTCACCCACTAACTTACTCACCCACTCGCCCACAAACTCACCACACTGCAGGTTACAACAAACACTCACCCACCCACTCACTCACCCACCACTCATTAACTTACCTACCCACTCACTCACCCACCACTCATTAACTTACCTACCCACTCACTCAACACTCATTAACTTACCCAGTCACTCACAACTCATTAATTTACCTACCCACTCACTCACCAACCCACCCACCCACCTATCCACTCGTCCTATCACTCACCCACTCACTCATCTAACCCCTCACTCACCCTACCACTCACTCATCCAGCCACCTACTCACCCTACCACTCACCCACCCACTCACCACACTGCAGGTCACCTCACTCCACTTGGGAATTCCCTCCTCCCATCATCACCGTCACCTCTTTCCTCCCCCATGCTCTTATAATCAATAACCTCGTTCAACTAAAGCACACGTGCGCTGTTCTCCTGCTGGCTGTTTGGGGTTATGGACCTGTGGTTACTGTGCTTCACAACTGAGATAAAAATAAACAAAAAAACAAACCCGAGTTTAATTTACAGCTCTTAATAATTCCACTGCTGGATGATGGAGAGACGTGGGAAGAGGCCTGCAGACACGGGGAGATGTGGAGAGGTATGGAAAGAGACCGGGAGACAAGGGGAGAGATGGGAGAGACCAGGAGACACTGGGAGAGATGGGGACACACGGGGAGAGACTGGGATACATTGAGAGACACTGGGAGAGATGGGGACACACGGGGAGACACTGGGAGATGGAGACACACGGAGAGACAAGGGGAGAGATGGGGACACACGGGGAGACACTGGGAGAGATGGAGACACACGGGAGACACTGGGAGATGGAGACACACGGGGAGACACTGGGAGAGATGGGGACACACGGGGAGACACTGGGAGATGGAGACACACGGGGAGACAAGGGGAGAGATGGGGACACACGGGGAGACAAAGGGAGAGATGGAGACACACGGGGAGAGACTGGAATACATTGAGAGACACTGGGAGAGATGGAGACACACGGGGAGACACTGGGAGAGATGGGGACACACGGGGAGAGACCAGGATAAATTGAGAGACACTGGGAGAGATGGAGACACACGGGGAAACAAGCGGAGAGATTGGGACACACGGGGAGACACTGGGAGAGATGGAGACACACGGGGAGACACTGGGAGAGATGGAGACACACGGGGAGACAAGCGGAGAGATTGGGACACACGGGGAGACACTGGGAGAGATGGAGACACACTAAGAGACAAGGGGAGACACTGGGAGAGATGGGGGACACACGGGGAGACAAGGGGAGACACCAGGATACATTTGAGAGACGAGGAGAGCCTCACCGCTTGCAGCTCCTTGGCGGAGAAGATGCGCGGCAGGAGGAGCCAGCGGCAGGGCACGGTGAGGATGAGCAGGAAGGGGAAGGCGAGCGCGGCCGGGGTGAGCTGCACGGCCCACAGCACGGCCAACAGCAGCACCTGGGCGCAGCGCCAGCGTCAGCGCGCAAGTGGAAGTTGCCTCTGGTTCGTTACATGCCCCCCCCCCCCCCTCTTTACACCTGCGTGTTAGCAGTGACCTTACCCCTCACTCTTCCCTCGCCATATTGGTATGTTAAGTTTGTTGTCCTTCCTCCACACGGTGGGGTACGTATGGAGCGAAAGAAGTTTGACGTACACATATATATATACCACCTACCCTCTAACACACCATCACCATCACTACCACCTACCCTCTAACACACCATCACTACCACCTACCCTCTAACACACCATCACCATCACCTTCCCTCTAACACCATCACCATCACTACCACCTTCCCTCTAACACACCATCACCATCACTACCACCTACCCTCTAACACACCATCACCATCACTACCACCTACCCTCTAACACACCATCACCATCACTACCACCTACCCTCTAACACACCATCACCTTCCCTCTAACACCATCACTACCACCTTCCCTCTAACACACCATCACCATCACTACCACCTACCCTCTAACACACCATCACCATCACTACCACCTACCCTCTAACACACCATCACCTTCCCTCTAACACCATCACCATCACTACCACCTTCCCTCTAACACACCATCACCATCACCTTCCCTCTAACACCATCACCATCACTACCACCTTCCCTCTAACACACCATCACCATCACTACCACCTACCCTCTAACACACCATCACCATCACTACCACCTACCCTCTAACACACCATCACCATCACTACCACCTACCCTCTAACACACCATCACCATCACCTTCCCTCTAACACCATCACCATCACTACCACCTTCCCTCTAACACACCATCACCATCACTACCACCTGCCCTCTAACACACCATCACCATCACTACCACCTACCCTCTAACACACCATCACCATCACTACCACCTACCCTCTAACACACCATCACTATCACTACCACCTACCCTCTAACACACCACCATCACCTTCCCTCTAATACACCACCATCACTACCACCACCTACCCTCTAACACACCATCACCATCACTACCACCTACCCTCTAACACACCGCCATCACCATCACCTTCCCTCTAACACACCACCATCACTACCACCACCTACCCTCTAACACACCATCACTATCACTACCACCTACCCTCTAACACACCAACATCACCATCACCTTCCCTCTAACACACCACCATCACTACCACCACCTACCCTCTAACACAGCATCACTATCACTACCACCTACCCTCTAACACACCACCATCACCATCACTACCACCTTCCCTCTAACACACCATCACCATCACTACCACCTACCCTCTAACACACCACCATCACCATCACTACCACCTTCCCTCTAACACACCATCACCATCACTACCACCTACCCTCTAACACACCATCACCATCACCTTCCCTCTAACACCATCACCATCACTACCACCTTCCCTCTAACACACCATCACCATCACTACCACCTACCCTCTAACACAACATCACCATCACTACCACCTACCCTCTAACACACCATCACCATCACTACCACCTACCCTCTAACACACCATCACTATCACTACCACCTACCCTCTAACACACCACCATCACCATCACCTCCCTCTAACACACCACCATCACTACCACCACCTACCCTCTAACACACCATCACCATCACTACCACCTACCCTCTAACACACCACCATCACCATCACCTTCCCTCTAACACACCACCATCACTACCACCACCTACCCTCTAACACACCATCACCATCACTACCACCTACCCTCTAACACACCACCATCACCATCACCTTCCCTCTAACATACCACCATCACTACCACCACCTACCCTCTAACACACCATCACCATCACTACCACCTACCCTCTAACACACCACCATCACATCACTACCACCTTCCCTCTAACACACCATCACCATCACTACCACCTACCCTCTAACACACCACCATCACCATCACTACCACCTTCCCTCTAACACACCATCACCATCACTACCACCTACCCTCTAACACACCATCACCATCACCTTCCCTCTAACACCATCACCATCACTACCACCTTCCCTCTAACACACCATCACCATCACTACCACCTACCCTCTAACACAACATCACCATCACTACCACCTACCCTCTAACACACCATCACCATCACTACCACCTACCCTCTAACACACCATCACTATCACTACCACCTACCCTCTAACACACCACCATCACCATCACCTCCCTCTAACACACCACCATCACTACCACCACCTACCCTCTAACACACCATCACCATCACTACCACCTACCCTCTAACACACCACCATCACCATCACCTTCCCTCTAACACACCACCATCACTACCACCACCTACCCTCTAACACACCATCACCATCACTACCACCTACCCTCTAACACACCACCATCACCATCACCTTCCCTCTAACACACCACCATCACTACCACCACCTACCCTCTAACACACCATCACCATCACTACCACCTACCCTCTAACACACCACCATCACCATCACTACCACCTTCCCTCTAACACACCATCACCATCACTACCACCTACCCTCTAACACACCACCATCACCATCACTACCACCTTCCCTCTAACACACCATCACCATCACTACCATCTACCCTCTAACACACCACCATCACCATCACCTTTCCTCTAACACACCACCATCACTACCACCACCTACCCTCTAACACACCATCACCATCACTACCACCTACCCTCTAACACACCACCATCACCATCACCTTCCCTCTAACACACCACCATCACTACCACCACCTACCCTCTAACACACCATCACCATCACTACCACCACCTACCCTCTAACACACCACCATCACCATCACCTTCCCTCTAACACACCACCATCACTACCACCACCTACCCTCTAACACACCATCACCATCACTACCACCACCTACCCTCTAACACACCATCACCATCACCTTCCCTCTAACACCATCACTACCACCACCTACCCTCTAACACACCACCATCACCTTCCCTCTAACACCATCACCATCACTACCACCTTCCCTCTAACACACCACCATCACCATCCCTCTAACACCACCACCACCACCATCACCTTCCCTCTAACACCATCACTACCACCACCCACCCTCTAGCACACCACTACCACCTTCCCTCTAACACCATCACTACCACCTTCCCTCTAACACACCACCATCACCATCCCTCTAACACCATCACCACCACCACCACCTTCCCTCGCAACTCCGATTAGCACGGCTGGCTGTGTACGGTGCGAAAGAAGTTCGACTTATACATAAACTTTCATGTTTTGCCAGAGGCTTTCCGACAGCTCTGTTCTTCACCTGAGGACGGCCGCTTACGTTGTGGCCGAAACGTCGTGAGAATTTTATTATGTTTTATATTTATTATTTTATTATTTCCCTTCTACGTGGTGACTTTACCGAAATAACTAAGAATATTCTGCCTCGCCGTTCCCACCTGGGTGGGGCTGATGACGACCGCTCGTGTTGCCATGGAAACGTCGTTGTTTTTTGTTATTTTCTTTGAACCTATCCACGTGACTTTACCGAGAGACCCAAAGAAAATGCAACAACGGAGTTCCGTTTCCTCTTTCTAGAGGCCGGTCCCGTGTAGCGGTGAGGCAGCGAGCGACGCCAGCGCTCAGCAACGCGCGCCGCTTTACCTGGATGGCGGTGAACATGTTCATACGCCATGTCTTCACCTGCGGGCACACGTGAACACCAAGACAAAGGTCACCTGTGTAGCCTGCGACAGACTGTCGGGGCGAGTGCCGTGAGCGAGCAGCACCACCTATAAAGGCCGACACGGCGCACGAGGGGGTGGGTGGCCAGCACCACGCCCGACCGCCTTTGTCTCCCCAGTGGCGATGTTCACGACACACCGCACCAGGTACTCATTTGAGGCTGTGTAGACCTAAGGGGAGGCCCAGGACCGGTTCAGATAATCGTCACTGGCGGTGTTGGCCGTGAGCGGGAATCAAACTCGTTTGCTCCCATAGCGCAGCGTAGCGTTAACCACTACACCACCGCTCCACACTCGTGAACACACACACACACACCCACACACCACACACACGCACGCACAGACGTTCACGTGCAGGCAGGCAAAGACCCCCCCGCGTAGCCATGAAACAGACCCCTTGGGGGCAAGCGCTGCGTTGGTACCGCGGTGACGTATCGGCGCTCCGGGTGGTACTTGGTGGGCTTGAGAGCGAGCAGCATGCGCTCCACCATGCGCACGCCGCTCAGCGACGTGACGCCCATGTAGAGGAAGACGCCGAACAGCACGGCCAGCGGGATGTGGCTCAGCACGTCGCCCAGCACCACCGAGAGGCCTGCGCCACACGCGGGCACGTGGACACGCGGACACACGCACGGACGCACGGACACACGGACACACGGACGCACGGACACACGGACACGTGCACAGACACGGACACGTGCACACACACACGCGCATGCACGGACGCACGGACACACAGACAAACGGACGCACAAGCACGCGCAGACACATGGACACACACGGATGCAGCGATGGTTAGGTTCGGAAAGTGTCTGAAATGTCCAAATGAACATTTCAGACACTTTCACGGCACTCCACCACCACCCTCCACCACCACCATCACCAACACCACCAACACCACCATCATCACCATCACTATCACCACCACTATCACCACCACTATCACCACCATCATCACCATCACCACTACGACCATCATCACCATCACCACTATCACCACCATCATCACCACCACTATCACCACCACCATCACCACTACCATCATCACCACCACTATCATCACCATCACGACCACCACCAACACCACCATCACCACCACTATCACCACCATCATCACCATCACCACCACCATCACCATCCCCACCACCACCACCACCAACACCACCACCATCCCCACCACCACCACCACTATCACCAACATCACCACCATCACCACCACCACCAACACCACCACTATCACCACCATCACCACCATCACCACCACCACCAACACCACCACTACCACCATCATCACCACCACCACCATCATCACCACCACTATCACCATCATCACCGCCACTATCACCACCATCATCACCACTATCACCACCACTATCACCACTATCACCACCACCACTGTCACCGCCATAATCACCATCACCACTACCACCACCACCATCACCACCACCAACACCACCACTATCACCACCACCACCACCATCACCACCACCACCACCATCACCATCACCACCACCACCACCACTATCATCACCACCACCACCACCACTATCACCACTATCACCACCACCAGCACCATCCCCACCACGCCCGGCCCGCGGCCCTCACCGACGAGCAGGGCGACGGCGAGTGCGGTGAGGCGCTGCTCCAAGACGCGCTCGGTGCGTGGACGCTCCCCGGGCGCCGTGGCCCGGCTCATGACGGTGAGCGCGTTGGCGTGGCTCACGGAGCGCACCGTGGCGGCCGTGAGCCACGGCAGGCCCAGCAGCGCGCTCACGCCGCCCATGAGCGCGATGAGCAGCAGGTCGAGGTGGAAGCCCGAGCCCTTGACCAGTCGGCGCTCCTTCTTAGCCAGGATCAGCCTGGGGGCGGGCGGGGGGGGCAGAGGAGGTGGGGGTCAACAGGAGGGTGGTGGTAGTGGTGTCATGGTGGTACTGGTGTCATGGTGGTGGTAGTGGTGTCATGGTGGTGGTGGTGTCATTACGGTGGTGGTGTCATAGTGGTGGTGTCATGGTGGTGGTGGTGGTGTCATGGTGGTGGTGGTGTCATGGTGGTAGTGGTGTCACGGTGGTAGTGGTAGTGGTGTCATGGTGGTGGTGGTGTTATAGTGGTGGTGTCATGGTGGTAGTGGTGTCATGGTGGTAGTGGTGTCATGGTGGTGGTGGTAGTGGTGTCATGGTGGTGGTGGTGTCATAGTGGTGGTGTCATGGTGGTAGTAGTGTCATGGTGGTAGTGGTGTCATGGTGGTGGTGGTAGTGGTGTCATGGTGGTGGTGGTGTCATAGTGGTGGTGTCATGGTGGTAGTGGTGTCATGGTGGTAGTGGTGTCATGGTGGTGGTGGTAGTGGTGTCATGGTGGTGGTGGTGTCATTACGGTGGTGGTGTCATAGTGGTGGTGTCATGGTGGTGGTGGTGGTGTCATGGTGGTGGTGGTGTCATGGTGGTAGTGGTGTCACGGTGGTAGTGGTAGTGGTGTCATGGTGGTGGTGGTGTTATAGTGGTGGTGTCATGGTGGTAGTGGTGTCATGGTGGTAGTGGTGTCATGGTGGTGGTGGTAGTGGTGTCATGGTGGTGGTGGTGTCATAGTGGTGGTGTCATGGTGGTAGTAGTGTCATGGTGGTAGTGGTGTCATGGTGGTGGTGGTAGTGGTGTCATGGTGGTGGTGGTGTCATAGTGGTGGTGTCATGGTGGTAGTGGTGTCATGGTGGTAGTGGTGTCATGGTGGTGGTGGTAGTGGTGTCATGGTGGTGGTGGTGTCATTACGGTGGTGGTGTCATAGTGGTGGTTTCATGGTGGTGTCATGGTGGTGGTGTCAATACGGTGGTGGTGGTGTCATGGTGGTGGTGTCATGGTGGTGGTGTCATGGTTGTGGTGGTGGTGGTGTCATGGTGGTGGTGGTGGTGTCATGGTGGTAGTGGTGTCGTGGTGGTGGTGGTGTCATGGTGGTGGTGGTGGTAGTGGTGTCATGGTGGTGGTGGTGTCATTACGGTGGTGGTGTCATAGTGGTGGTGTCATGGTGGTGGTGGTGTCATGGTGGTGTCATGGTGGTGGTGGTGTCAATATGGTGGTGGTGTCATGGTGGTGGTGGTGTCATGGTGGTAGTGGTGTCAATATGGTGGTGGTGTCATGGTGGTGGTGGTGTCATGGTGGTGGTGGTGTCATGGTGGTGGTGTCATGGTGGTGGTGGTGTCATGGTGGTGTCATGGTGGTGTCATGGTGGTGGTGGTGTCATGGTGGTGGTGTCATGGTGGTGGTGGTGTCATGGTGGTGGTGTCATGGTGGTGGTGGTGTCAATACGGTGGTGGTGTCATGGTGGTGGTGGTAGTGGTGGTGGTGGTGTCATGGTGGTGGTGGTGCCATGGTAGTGGTGGTGTCATGGTGGTGGTGGTGTCATGGTGGTGGTGTCATGGTGGTGGTGGTGGTGTCATGGTGGTGGTGTCAATACGGTGGTGGTGTCATTGTGGTGGTGGTGTCATGGTGGTGGTGCCAGGAGGGTGGTAGTGGTGGTGGTGTCATGGTGGTGGTGGTGTCATGGTGGTGGTGGTGTCATGGTGGTGGTGCTGGTGTCATGGTGGTGGTGTCAATACGGTGGTGGTGTCATTGTGGTGGTGGTGTCATGGTGGTGGTGCCAGGAGGGTGGTAGTGGTGGTGGTGTCATGGTGGTGGTGGTGTCATGGTGGTGGTGGTGTCATGGTGGTGGTGGTGGTGTCATGGTGGTGGTGTCAATACGGTGGTGGTGTCATTGTGGTGGTGGTGTCATGGTGGTGGTGCCAGGAGGGTGGTAGTGGTGGTGGTGTCATGGTGGTGGTGGTGTCATGGTGGTGGTGGTGTCATGCTGGTGGTGGTGGTGTCATGCTGGTGGTGGTGGTGGTGGTAGTGGTGCCGTCAGCAAGGTGCTGGTGGTGTCAAGGGCACGGCGGGGGTGGTGGCGCTTGGTGGTCGGTGACTGGACACGGAGTCGGTCACCGATCAACCAAATGGGAAGGCAGCTGAAGAAGTGACGCGGGATGATGAATGACGGCAGCCGGCCATTGTCAGCCGCGAGTGAACACGACGAGGTGGGTGGGTGGTGGAGGGTGGAGGAGGGTCCCACGTGGTGATCTGCGTCTCCATGAAGACGAGGATGAGGACGAGCGCGCCGGGGATGACGGCCGCGAACATCATCCACACGGGGAAGGGCCGGCCGGAGGGACCCGCGGGGCTGATGAACCAGCCGCGCTGACTCGGCTCCGACAGCGACACGCCGCTCGGCACCACCAGCTTCTGCTCGCGCCGCGTGGCACAAGCGGAGGGGGCGGGGGTACGAACGATCGGAGGCTGTTCGCTCGCTCGCTCGCTCAACCATTCATTCGCTCGCTCGCTCAACCATTCATTCGCTCGCTCGCTCAACCATTCATTCGCTCGCTCGCTCAACCATTCATTCGCTCGCTCGCTCAACCATTCATTCGCTCGCTCGCTCAACCATTCATTCGCCTGCTCGCTCGTTCATTCATTCACTCGTTTGCTCCCTCGGTTGCGCATTCACTCGCTCAATTGTTCATTCGCTCCCTCGATCGTTCAATAAGTTGTTTGCTCGCTCGATCGTTCATTCGCTCGCTCGATCGTTTATTTGCTAGTTTGACTGTCCATTCGTTCATTTGCTCGCTCGATCGTTCATTCGCTCGCTCGTTCATTCATTCACTCGTTTGCTCCCTCGATTGCGCATTCACTCGCTCAATTGTTCATTCGCTCCCTCGATCGTTCAATCACTTGTTTGCTCGCTCGATCGTTCATTCGCTCGCTCGATCGTTTATTTGCTAGGTTGACTGTTCATTCGCTCATTCGCTCGCTCGATCGTTCATTCGCTCACTCGATCGTTCAATTCACTCAATCGTTAATTTGCTCATTCACTCACTCGATCCTTCATTCGCTCGATTCCATCATTTATTTGCTCGTTCGCTCACTCGATGGTTCATTCAATTGACTGTTTATTAACTTGATCACTCACACGACCACTCGCTTGATCGACTGTTCACTCGATTGTCCACGTCTGATCGAGCGCTCACTCGTTCGGTGTTCTGATGTCCCTGGCTCTAGGAGGAGAGAAGAGGTCTCATCCACGCTCACCTCACCCACGCTCACCCACAATCACCCTCACCTCACCCACGCTCACCCTCACCTCACCCACGCTCACCCACGCTCACCCACGCTCACCCTCACCTCACCCACGCTCACCCTCACCTCACCCACGCTCACCCACGCTCACCCACGCTCACCCTCACCTCACCCACGCTCACCCACGCTCACCCTCACCCTCACCTCACCCTCACCTCACCCTCACCTCACCCTCACCTCACCCACACTCACCCACGCTCACCCACGCTCACCCACGCTCACCCTCACCTCACCCACGCTCACCCTCACCTCACCCACGCTCACCCACGCTCACCCACGCTCACCCTCACCTCACCCACGCTCACCTGCAGGTAAGTGGTTTTCACCGCGAGAGAGATGAGCACCATGGCAATGATTGCGATGGCGACACCAAAATCTCCGATCGCCCGCCGGACCTGAGCACACACAAAGACAAAGGTCCCCCGTGTAGCCTTAACAGACTGTTGGGGCAAGTGCTGTTAGCGAGCACCTACGAAGGCCGGCACGGCGCACGAAGGGGTGGGTGGCCAGCACCACGCCCGGCCGCCTTTGTCTCCACAGTGGCGTTTTTTACACACCGCACCAGCTACTCATTTGAGGCTGAGTCGATCTAGGGGAAGCCCGGGACTGGATCAGATAATCGTCACCGGCGTTGGCCATCAGCGAAAAATCAAACTTGAGTCGCCGGGTTCATTATGCAGCGCGCTAACCGCTATGCCACCGCTCCCCACACACACACATGTGCACACACACGCACACGCACGCACACACACACGCACGTACACACGTACACACACACACACGCACGTACACACGCACACACACACACGCATGTACACACGTACACACGCGCACACGCGCACGTACACACGCACACACACGCACGTACACACACACACACGCATGTACACACGTACACACGCGCACACGCGCACGTGCACACGCACACGCCCGCACGCACCACGCCGGGCAGGAAGCGGCTGTTCTTGAACTTGCGGAGGTAAACGGCGATGAAGAAGGTGGATGCCATGAAGACGAGCGACATGAGCGCCGTGTTGGGGCAGCCCCGGGGATCCTCGTCCGCCACTGGCCGGCACGCGGTCGCCCCCAGCGACGCCGACGAGTTGCCGGGGGCCTCGCTCGAGTTCCAGGCGACCGCGGGGGGCCCCACGCCGCCCACGTGGTCGCTCAGCAGCGGGTGGTCCTGGAAGATCTACCCCGGCGGGCATGGACGCGACCGCACGCTTAGAGGGACATCGGCGATTCGCGATCGTCGGCCAAGGAGGGGGGTTTGGTTCCCGTGGTGGCGGTGGCAGTGTTGGTGGTAGTGGCGGTGTTGGTGGTGATGGTGTCGTGGTGGTGATGGTGGTGGTGACGATGGTGGTGGTGGCGGTGTTGGTGGTGGCGGTATTGGTGATGGTGGTGGAGGTGGTGGAGGTGGTGGTGGTGGAGGTAGTGGTGGTGGTGGTGGTGATGGTAGCGGTGGCTGTGGCGATGGCGATGGTGGTGGTGGCGGTATTGGTGGTAGTGGCGGTGTTGGTGGTGATGGTGTCGGTGGTGATGGTGGTGTTGGTGGTGGTGATGGTGTTGGTGGTGATAGTGGTGGAGGTGGTGGAGGTGATGGTGGCGGTGGCTGTGGCGGTGGTGGTGGTGGTTTTGGTGGAGGTGGTGGTAGCGGTATTGGTGGAGGTGGCGGTGGCGGTGTTGGTGGTAGTGGCGGTGTTGGTGATGGTGGTGGAGGTGGTGGAGGTGGTGGTGGTAAAGGTGGTGGTGATGGTGGCGGTGGCTGTGGCGATGGTGGTGGTGGTGATGGTGGTGGTGGCGGTGGCGGTGTTGTTGGTGGCGGCAGCGGTGGTGGCGGTGGTGTTGGTGATAGTGACGTGGCAGTGGCGGTGATGGTGTTGGTGGTTGTGGTGGTGACAATGGTGATGGAGAAGCGGTGGTGGCACCATCGCCATGAGGAACCGGAGTAGAGTCAAGGATTGCGATTCACGGGATGCAGATGTAGCGGTCCTCCTTAACGGTCCCCCAACATCGGCATTCCCTACTGCCTAGACCTCTGAATAGTGCAGTTGCCTACGTACGGTGTGAAAGAAGTTCAACATACATACAGTGATGATGCCAATCTCTGCACCTACTTTTCCAGGAGTAACCCCACAGTGTGACGATCTGAGTGATTGTGTGGATGTTGAACCCTCGTACGGAGCCAATCGGAAGTGCGGGGGAAGGACAACAAACTAAGCTTCCTAATATTGAAAGGAAGAGCGTTCCAGACGGCCGTAGAAGCGCATCTGAAAGGGCCGCGCGATGCGGTAACCACTGCCTTTATTCAGTGAGTAGCCAAAAGCCGCTGCTGCTGCGAGAATGAGTGGAGTTGTCCTGATGGATGATGCTCCTTGCAAGGTATTGTCGTTCATATTGTGGTTTGGAATGAGGTGACAGAGATGAGGGGAGGGGGAGGAAATTGGAGAGGGGACTGTTGGGGATAAGGGGGCACGTTAGGGGACTGGTAGGAAGAGGAGAGAGCTGTGGATGAAGGAGGGAGCTGTGGATGAAGGAGGGAGCTGTGGGTGAAGGAGAGAGCTGTGGGTGAAGGAGGGAGCTGTATGTTGAGAGACCTGCGGATGATGGAATGAGCTGTGGAGGAAGGAGAGAGCTGTGGGTGAAGGAGGGAGCTGTGGGTGAAGGAGAGAGCTGTGGATGAAGGAGGGAGCTGTATGTTGAGAGAACTGCGGATGAAGGAATGAGCTGTGGAGGAAGGAGAGAGCTGTGGGTGAAGGAGAGAGCTGTGGGTGAAGGAGGGAGCTGTGGGTGAAGGAGGGAGCTGTGGGTGAAGGAGAGAGCTGTGGGTGAAGGAGAGAGCTGTGGGTGAAGGAGAGAGCTGTGGGTGAAGGAGGGAGCTGTGGGTGAAGGAGAGAGCTGTGGGTGAAGGAGAGAGCTGTGGGTGAACGAGGGAGCTGTGGGTGAAGGAGATAGCTGTGGGTGAAGGAGAGAGCTGTGGGTGAAGGAGGGAGCTGTGGGTGAAGAAAGGAGCTGTGTGTGACGGAACTGGAGTAAGCGGACTGTCTCGGTGTGCTGGTGAGGAGAGCGCCCGCCACACACAGAAACGAATGAGAGAGGGAAGGAGGGATGGCGGGATGGGGAATCCCTGCGACGGAGAAAGAGGAGGGCACGGCTCGCGATGAGCAGCAGGAAGAGATGAGGAGGAGGGTGACAAGCGCCAGGGCAGGAGGAGGAGGAGGGGTAGGAGAAGGAATGACCGGCGCTAAGAGAGCGGTGGTGATGATGGTGATGATGAGAGGGTGGAGGGGAGAAGGGACGGAGAAGAGAGAAGGAAGGAGCGAGCAGCGGTGAGTTAACACGCAGGTGGGTGAGAAGTTGGGCGAGTGGGTAAATGAACGAGTGAAACGGTGAGTGAGTGAGTGCGCGAGTGAGCCATTCAATGCGTGGGTGGGTGCGAAGGTGGGCGAGTGGGTACATTGATGAGTGACATGGTGAGTGAGTGAGTTCAAGTTCATGGTTCAAGTCGATTTGGTGTAACCGGGTGAGAATCGTAAACACCAGGACGAGGTTGGGGAGGAGGTGGCGGTGGGGTCACCGAACAGAAGCCACCGCGTGGTCACACACACACACATACCTCGTAGATCTTCTCGAAGGTCTCATAGATGAAGATGAGCGAGATGAGGAAGGCGAAGATCTCCTGGGTGAAGCGCGAGACGTAGCGCACCAGGAAGCTGCCCTCGGCCGCGACGAGCACGAGAACGAGCAGCACGAGCCACAGGCCCACCCAGACGCGGCCCGTCAGGTAGTCGAGCGAGTTGGACTCGCAGAACTACGCACGCGCAGAGGAGACACGCGGGGTGGAGAGAGACATGGGGAGGAGAGACACACGGGGAGGAGAGAGACATGGGGTGGAGAGAGACACGGGGAGGAGAGAGACGTGGGGAGGAGAGAGACGCGGGGAGGAGAGAGACACGGGGATGAGACACAGGGAGGTGAGAGACACTGGGAGGAGAGAGACACTGGGAGGAGAGAGACACGGGGAGGAGAGAGACACGGGGAGGAGAGAGACACGGGGAGGAGAGAGACACGTGCTCGCACTACCCGCGCACTCACAGAAAAGAAGGCCTCCTCGAAGACGAGCAGGGGTCCGGAGAAGCCGATGATGAGGAGCGGCTGCGCTCCGAGGAGAGCGAAGAGGATGCCCTGCGTGGAGGTGGCCACCACCAGCTCGGAGACCCCCATGAGGTTCCCCGTCGCTTCCCCTGCGGCACAGCGGACACGGCGCGGGCTGCGTCACCACCTCGTCCACCTCGTCCACCTCGCCCACCTCGCCCACCTCGTCCCAGCAGTCGCTCTGACCAAACGCATCCTCCGGATCGCGATACGCTGCCTGCCGACCCCCCACGATCCAACACCCCCCCCCCCTCCCCCCCCCCCCCCCCCCCCCCCGTCCACCTCTGTACTTGAAAATGTCGGAGTTGGGATTGTCCAATCACGGCATCATCTGGATTATGAGCGGTCCCACACTCACCGAGCAGGCCGCCGAAGGTGATGCAGGGCGAGAGGGCTGCGAAGTAGATGAAGATCATCGCCGGGAGGCACTGCACGTTGAAGGCGTCACGCAGGTCGGAAGCGTAGTGGCCGTATCGTCGCTTCATGTCGCACCACACCCCGCCGAACGGCACGCCGGTGCGTCGCAGTGGATCCTCGTCATCACCGCCATCGCCGCCGCCGCCACTGCCACAGCCGCCGCCGCCGCCGGACGCCTCCGCGGCCGGAGCTTTGCCGTCAAGCGAGGGCTTTTGGTTGTCCTCGTCCGCGGCTGGGACGGTGAGCGGGGTAACGCGGGAGGGGAGAGGTCATGGAGTTTGATTGTCGTTGTTGTCATCATCGCCGTCATCATCGTCATCATCGCCGTCATTATCATCATCATCATCATCGTCGTTATCAACATCATCGACATTATCATCATGATCATCATTGTTGTCATCATCGTCGACATCATCATCATCGGCATCATGATCATCGACATCATCATCGTCGTCATCATCGTCATTATCATTGTCGTCGTCATCATCGTCATTATCATTGTCGTCATCATCACGCAGTCATCAGCACCTCTGCCAACTGCTGCAAGAACTTGGCAGGTACCACTGCCCCCCCCCCCCACCCCAAGGCTCGCAACCCCCCACCCCCGCCTAGTAGCGATGAGTAAAACATCGCCACTGGGGAGACAAAGGCGGCCGGGCGTGGTGCTGGCCGCCCACCCTCTCGTGTACCACAGTGTCGGCCTTCAAAGGCGTTGCTACTACTCGCTAATGGTGTGTTAAGATCCATAATAGAGGTTTTTTTTGGTGAGATCGTGTAAGTAGAAAGTGTGTCATGAAACCCGCCGCCACCCGACACAGCCAACTCATAAGGGTTGTCACGTAAACAGAACGTGCCAGACTCTTAAGAGTTACACGGGGAATCTCTTTGACCCGAGTTCGATTTCCCGCTCACGGCCAACACCGGTGGCGATTATCCGAACCCGGTCCTGGGCCTCCAACCAGATCGACTCGGCCTCAAACGAGTACCCCGGTGCGGTGCGTGGTAAACGTCGCCACTCAAGGAGACAAAGCTGTGCCGTGCCGGCCTTCACAGGTGAAGCCCTTGCCCCAGCGGCCGGCCGAATGCCGCACGGGGGTATCGTCGCCCCGGGCGCGCGTCTCACCGCTCCGCTGCTGCCGACGCTTGTGCAGCACGGCGCGCTGGAACGACGGCACGGGCCCCAGCAGCTCGTGGTCGCTCAGCTCGGCGGGGGGCAGCACCACGCTGCTGTCCAGGAACTCGTTGATGGCGCACAACAGCTGGCGGCGGTCGTCCGCGCGGTAAGCCGTGTCGTGGAAGTCCTGGGCAGGTTACGACAGCGACGACAAGAAAGATGTACATTTAAAATAATGTACGGCAAACGTTTCATTCAAATGTATTTTGAGCGCTTTTTACCGGGTAAGGCCCACTGGGCTGCTGCGTAGCTCTTCTTCAGAGGCGGCCCGGCCACCACCAAGTGGTAGCTCGACAAAAAAAGTGTCCCATCGCGTCGAAACGCACGTCGGCCAAATCCTCTGCACGCGCCGTCCTGAGCAAACTTCAGTCGCGTTGCCTGCGAGAAGTCGCCGGTCAAATCGAACGGACTTACCCCCCCCCACCCCCCTCGTCAACGCTCAACGCAGCGCGGGGTTATCGTCACCGTGTGAACATTTATAGCAGCCAAATACACTGAACGCAGGTCCGTCCATCGTACGTCCGTGTGTCCGTCCGTGTGTCCATCTACCATCCGTGCGTCTGTCCGTCCGTGTGTCCGTCTACCATCCGTGCGTCTGTGCGTGTGTCCATCCGTGTGTCCGTCTACCATCCGTGCGTCTGTGCGTGTGTCCATCCGTGTGTCCGTCTACCATCCGTGCGTCTGTGCGTGTGTCCATCCGTGTGTCCATCTAACCATCCTTGCGTCTGTGCGTGTGTCCATCCGTGTGTTCGTCTACCATCCGTGCGTCTGTGCGTGTGTCCATCCGTGTGTCCGTCTACCATCCGTGCGTCTGTGCGTGTGTCCATCCGTGTGTCCGTCTACCATCCGTGCGTCTGTGCGTGTGTCCATCCGTGTGTCCGTCTACCATCCGTGCGTCTGTGCGTGTGTCCATCCGTGTGTCCGTCTAACCATCCGTGCGTCTGTGCGTGTGTCCATCCGTGTGTCCATCTAACCATCCTTGCGTCTGTGCGTGTGTCCATCCGTGTGTTCGTCTACCATCCGTGCGTCTGTGCGTGTGTCCATCCGTGTGTCCGTCTACCATCCGTGCGTCTGTGCGTGTGTCCATCCGTGTGTCCGTCTACCATCCGTGCGTCTGTGCGTGTGTCCATCCGTGTGTCCGTCTACCATCCGTGCGTCTGTGCGTGTGTCCATCCGTGTGTCCGTCTAACCATCCGTGCGTCTGTGCGTGTGTCCATCCGTGTGTCCGTCTACCATCCGTGTGTCTGTCTACCATCCGTGCGTCTGTGCGTGCGTGCGTGCACCTTGTCGGACATGAGCGCGGCGAGCGAGCGGCCCATCTCGTGGTAGTCCAGGCCCGCGGCCCGGGGCCCCAGCAGCAGAAAGACGAAGCGTGTGGGCACCGGCACCTCCAGCACGCCGGGCAGCACCACGCCACGGCGCAGACGCACAAACGCGGCCGCCGGCTGCGCCAGGAACTCGGCGTGGCCTGGGGGGTGGGGGAGAGGAGGCGGTAAGGGATGGAGGAGGAGGGGGGGAGAGATTTTAGAATTGAAGTGAAGTTGTGCTGGGGGATGATGATCCCAAGGTTCGCCCCGATCCCAAGTCTGACCCTGAAACTGACCCCGCCCTGCTGCTCCAGCAGAGTGGAGGCAGCAGTGGGAATCGAGCTCAGGTCGTAGAGCGGCGCACTAACCACTACACTACCGCCTCCCACACTCAACAACAACAACAACCGCCATTCGTCACTAAGTGGTAGTGACGTCACCACGGCGCTTGTGCCAGGCTATGTGCACGTTCAGGCCATGTGAAGTGTCGAATGCCCGCTGGCAGGAGGTCACAGGACAGACCCAGATGCCACGGGTCGACTGACTGAGACGATTGGACGATGCACCACCTGTGCCCCCCTATTGTGCCAACTCGCTGTGTTTTAGCCGTCCGGAACACCGCTAGTTGTTAGTGAACGTCGCTCCTCTTACACACGCACACTTACACACACACACTGACACACACTGACACACACACTGACACACACTGCCACACACTGCCACACGCACTGACACACACTGACACACTGACACACACACTGACACACACTGCCACACACACTGCCACACACTGCCACACACTGCCACACACACTGACACACACACTGCCACACACTGCCACACACACTGACACACACACTGACACACACACTGCCACACACACTGACACACACACTGCCACACACTGCCACACACACTGACACACACACTGACACACACACTGCCACACACACTGACACACACACTGACACACACTGGCACACCACACTGACACACACTGGCACACCACACTGACACACACTGACACACACTGCTACACACACTGCCACACACACTGACACACACTGCCACACACTGCCACACACACTGACACACACTGCCACACACACTGGCACACCACACTGACACACACTGGCACACCACACTGACACACACTGACACACACTGGCACACACACTGGCACACCACACTGACACACACTGGCACACCACACTGACACAGACTGACACACACTGGCACACAACACAACACAACAACAACCGCCATTCGCCACTAAGTGGCGGTGACGTCACCACGACGCTTGTGCCAGGCTATGTGCACCCTGAGGCCACGTGAAGTGTCGAACGCCCGCTGGCAGGAGGTCACGGGGCAGACCCAGGTGCCACGGGTCGACTGACTGAGATGACTGGCTGATGCACCACCTGTGCCCCCTACTGTGCCAACCTGCTGTACTTTAGCCACCCGGCGCTCCGCTCGCTGTTGTGAGCGTCGCTCCTCCGCCCTCCGTTGTTGTTGGAGGGCGACTGCCTCCAACTGCCCAGTAGCATCCTTCACGAGCCTCCTCCACAGAGGCCGATCTTGACACCGCTGGTACCAGTCATCGGCAAGTCCACTCAGCTCCACGTCCTCCTGTACCACATCACTCCATCTCTTCTCTAGCCCGTGCCGCGCCCGCTTAGCCCCCTCAATCCGGCCAAACAAAAGCTGTTTCGGCATGCGGTGGCTGGGCATGCGGGCTACATGACCCAGCCATCGCAGCCTTGCCTGCCGGAGGAGCTCACCGATGGGACCCTGCCCAGATCTTTCAAGGATTTGTGAGCTCCTCACACAATCCAGTCTGGTTAAACCCAGGATGGATCGTAGGCAGGCCAGCCTAAATGTTTCTAACCGGCGAAGATGTTCCATTAGGGGGGTCCACGTTTCGCAAGCGTAGAGAAGGGAGGGAATGACCGTGGCCGAGAAGACCTGAAGCTTAGTGCGGAGCGACAGACCAGGTAGCTTCCACACAGCGTTACGCAACCGATGAAAAGCTATTGCCGCTCGACTGATTCGGAGTGAGACCTCTGCTGTTAAACTGGTGCCAGTCATAAGCACACTGCCCAGGTATGGGAAACTCTCCACTCTCTCCACAACTGCCCCATCACCGATTGGGAGTTGTGGGGGTGGAGTGTCCGATGGTACAAAATACCCAGGCAGGTGCTTGGTTTTGGTGGGGCTGATGGTAAGGCCCCACCTCTTAGTGGCACGCTCCAGTCTCAGCAGCAGCGTCTCCAACTCCTCCTCTGACTGAGCAGCTATTACCAAGTCATCAGCATACATAACGTGGTTGAGCAATAGGGAGCCATCCCTTGACCGCACCCGGGCATCGATTAGCCTCCCATTATATCTGTACCATATGGAGATTCCCCCGGTACAGCTATTGAAGGCTTCACGAACTACGTGGTCAAAATAGATGTTAAATAATGTGGGAGCCAGAGGACATCCCTGTCGCACCCCAAGGTGTACAGGGAATGGCTCTGACTCCCGGCCACGTAGTTTTACCTGGGCCCGCTCACCATTATGAAGGTCCTTAATGATCGTGAGCAGAGGGTCAGGTACTCCAAAAGCACGAAGAACGACCCAGAGCCCAGGCCTACTGATGGTATCATAGGCCTTGACCAGGTCAATAAAGCAGAGATGTAGGTCTTGTTGGAATTCCCTACACCTCTGCTGTAGCAGACGGACAGAAAATATGGCATCTGTGCAGGACCGCCCTTTCCTGAAACCGCATTGGGGCTCCGCAAGCCTCTCCTCAGCGTGCCTGGCAAGGCGATGCTGAATAATCCTTGCCAGGACCTTTCCCGGCACACTGAGGAGTGAGATGCCCCTGTAGTTGTTACAGTCTGTGCGGTCCCCCTTCTTAAAAAGGGGGGACCATCAGGGCATCCTTCCAATCCTGCGGAACCCGTCCAGTGGTCCAGACTGTTGTTATGATGTCATATAGGGCAGTCTGTGCACAAACGCCACCCTCCCTCAGCATTTCGCTTGGAAGATCATCTCTGCCCGCTGCCTTTCCTGGTCTCAGACTCCGGATCGCCTTCAATACTTCCTCAGCAGATGGCACCTCAGCCAGCCACTCACAGGGGGTGACTTCATCCAATATTTGAGGCACCGCAGCCTCAGCAGGGTCATCCTCACTTTGTGCCACGATGTTTTCCTGGCTGAGGGATTTTCCCTCCCCCAGGACCTCACAGAAATGCTCAGCAAATCTGCGAACCTGTTCCTGGGGGTCGGAAATTGGATCGCCGTTTTTTCCCCTAATGATGGTAATAGGTGTGGCGCTGCAGGTTACTTTTTTGATGGAGTTAAATAGAGATTTGTGATCACGGGCCACTGAGGCAGACTCCATCTCCTCAGCAACCCGCGACCACCACCCATCCTTGCAGCGCCTCACGGCTCTCCGAACCTCCGAGCGAAGGCTGCGGTAAGCCTCCTCATTCTCTGACGTGGGACTCTGTAGCCGATGACAGTGGGCCTGTCGCTTTTTCTCAACCATCGTGAACAACTCCTCTGTCATCCAGGGTGTCTGGGGAGGTCTGGACCGCGTACCCAAAGCAGCCATTGCAGCTGCATGAGTCACAGTCCTAAACCTCGCCCATTTACCCTCGACATCAGGAGGAGTCGGGGACGATGCCAATCCCAGCCGCAAGCGATGATGAAATTCTTGCTTGCAACTTTCATCAGATAACTGAGACCAGGCCACTTTAGGTTGGAATGGGGTCCTGGGTGTACACCCACCACCGGAGTGGAAGAATGGCAGGCGCATCTTACAGATGACTAGTCGATGGTCAGAGGGCAGATCAGCTCCACGGTAGGTCCTGGTGTCAAGGACATGGGCTCGCATTCGCTGGTCCGTCACTATGTAGTCCAGCAGATGTTCTTGCTTGGACCCGGCATGCATCCATGATGTTGTGTGGATGCGCCGATGCCGGAACAGCGTGTTGGTAATTACAAGCCCATGGGCTGCACAAAAATCTAGCAGCCTCCTACCGTTGTTATTGAGCTGATCTGGCCCATGCCCTCCAATCACTCCAGGCCAGGTGCCAGTATCATGACCAACTCGGGCATTGAAGTCACCCAACATGATGACTCTATCCCGAGGGGCCACTTTAGCCAGCACCTGTGACAGGAGGTCATAGAAGGCATCTGACTCATCGGCTTTGCCTGCATCCCTCCACGGATGTTCATCTTCGGTGGGGGCATAAGTAACCACGACCACCATTCCTCGCCTCCGGTTGATGGGAAGGCGAGCCCAAAGTAGCCTGGGGCTTACAGCTTCCCACACCTCACCGCCACGCTCCCACGCCCCCTTCATTCTTTTGTTCAAAAGAAGACCCACACCCTGTTGTTTGGCAGTCTGCTGCCCCGAGTAGAGGACTGTCCACCCCTCATGGTGGCAGGAGCCAGAGCCGGTCCACCGGACCTCCTGAATGCCGCATAGATCCAGGCGGTACCGGTCCAGCTCCCGACAGAGGAGTGGCAGCCTCTCCTCTGCAGTGAGCGTTCGAACATTCCACGTGGCCAACCGTAGTGGCTTTTCGTTGTTTCTGGAGTAGCCCCGAGGGTAGGTATTCAATCTCCTGGCTCCGCCAATTGGGGTTTGGCCAGGAGACGTCATAGACGCCTGGCCCCCCGGGGCCTCCGGCACAAGCTTAGTTGTTACATATTTCAGTTTAATTCGTAGTTTCGTGGTAATTAATTGAAGGTGGAGGGGTTACCAGCCCCTCGCACCCATCCAGAGCCCCCGTTTAGCCCCTGTGGTGGATACATATGCCATGAGGGGAGGAGCCAATCAAAATTGGATCTCCCCCCACAGCGCTGTCCACGACAGAGTTGCCCGTCCGGCACCGCGACACACTGGCACACCACACTGACACACACTGACACACACTGGCACACACACTGGCACACCACACTGACACACACTGGCACACCACACTGACACACACTGACACACACTGGCACACACACTGGCACACACACAGTAACACACACAGTGACACACACACTGACACACACTGGCACACACACTGGCACACACACAGTAACACACACAGTGACACACACACTGACACACACTGGCACACACACTGACACACACTGACACACACACTGACACACACACTGCCACACACACTGCCACACACACTGACACACACTGGCACACACACTGACACACACACTGACACACACTGCCACACGCTGACACACACACTGACAAACACTGCCACACACTGACACACACACTGACACACACACACTGACACACACACACTGACACACACTGCCACACACACTGACACACACACTGACACACACTGGCACACCACACTGACACACACTGACACACACACTGCCACACACACTGACACACACTGCCACACGCTGACACACACACTGACAAACACTGCCACACACTGACACACACACTGACACACACACACTGACACACACACTGACACACACTGACACACACTGCCACACACACTGACACACACACTGACACACACACTGACACACACTGCCACACACACTGCCACACACACTGTCATACACACTGACACACACTGCCACACACACTGACACACACTGCCACACACACTGACACACACACTGACACACACTGGCACACCACACTGACACACACTGACACACACACTGACACACACACTGACACACACACTGCCACACACACTGACACACACTGCCACACGCTGACACACACACTGACAAACACTGCCACACACTGACACACACACTGACACACACACACTGACACACACACTGACACACACTGACACACACTGCCACACACACTGACACACACACTGACACACACACTGACACACACTGCTACACACACTGCCACACACACTGACACACACTGCCACACACTGCCACACACACTGACACACACTGCCACACACACTGACACACACACTGACACACACTGGCACACCACACTGACACACACTGACACACACTGGCACACACACTGGCACACCACACTGACACACACTGGCACACCACACTGACACACACTGACACACACTGGCACACACACTGGCACACACACAGTAACACACACAGTGACACACACACTGACACACACTGGCACACACACTGACACACACTGACACACACACTGCCACACACACTGCCACACACACTGGCACACGCTGATACACACACTGACAAACACTGCCACACACTGACACACACACTGACACACACACACTGACACACACACACTGACACACACTGCCACACACACTGACACACACACTGACACACACTGGCACACCACACTGACACACACTGACACACACACTGCCACACACACTGACACACACTGCCACACGCTGACACACACACTGACAAACACTGCCACACACTGACACACACACTGACACACACACACTGACACACACACTGACACACACTGACACACACTGCCACACACACTGACACACACACTGACACACACACTGACACACACTGCCACACACACTGCCACACACACTGTCATACACACTGACACACACTGCCACACACACTGACACACACACACTGCCACACACACTGACACACACACTGACACACACTGGCACACCACACTGACACACACTGACACACACACTGACACACACACTGACACACACACTGCCACACACACTGACACACACTGCCACACGCTGACACACACACTGACAAACACTGCCACACACTGACACACACACTGACACACACACACTGACACACACACTGACACACACTGACACACACTGCCACACACACTGACACACACACTGACACACACTGCTACACACACTGCCACACACACTGACACACACTGCCACACACTGCCACACACACTGACACACACTGCCACACACACTGGCACACCACACTGACACACACTGGCACACCACACTGACACACACTGACACACACTGGCACACACACTGGCACACCACACTGACACACACTGGCACACCACACTGACACACACTGACACACGCTGGCACACACACTGGCACACACACAGTAACACACACAGTGACACACACACTGACACACACTGGCACACACACTGACACACACTGACACACACACTGACACACACACTGCCACACACACTGCCACACACACTGACACACACTGGCACACACACTGACACACACACTGACACACACTGCCACACGCTGACACACACACTGACAAACACTGCCACACACTGACACACACACTGACACACACACACTGACACACACACACTGACACACACTGCCACACACACTGACACACACACTGACACACACTGGCACACGCTGACACACACACTGACAAACACTGCCACACACTGACACACACACTGACACACACACACTGACACACACACTGACACACACTGACACACACTGCCACACACACTGACACACACACTGACACACACACTGACACACACTGCCACACACACTGCCACACACACTGTCATACACACTGACACACACTGCCACACACACTGACACACACACACTGCCACACACACTGACACACACACTGACACACACTGGCACACCACACTGACACACACTGACACACACACTGACACACACACTGACACACACACTGCCACACACTGACACACACTGACACACACTGGCACACACACTGACACACACACTGACACACACACTGACACACACTGACACACACACTGCCACACACACTGCTACACACACTGACACACACACTGCCACACACACTGACACACACTGCCACACACACTGACACACACACTAGCACACACACTGACACACACACTGAGACACACTGCCACACACACTGCCACACACACTGACACACACACTGAGACACACTGCCACACACACTGCCACACACACTGACACACACTGACACACACATTGAGACACACACACTGACACACACTGGCACACCACACTGACACACACTGGCACACCACACGTGCTCACCCACGAGAACGAGCGTGGCCTCAGCTCCGTGAGGGATCTTCTCTAGCAGCTTGGGCCGACGGTCGGCCGCCGTGAACGTGAGGCTCCGCTACACAAAGACAAAGAGCCCCCGTGTAGCCTTAGCGGACTGTTGGGGCAAGTGTAGTTAGCACACGGACACACGCACACACACACAAGACAAAGACAAAGGTCCCCCGTGTAGCCTGTAACAGGCTGTTGGGGCAAGCGCTGTTAGCGAGCAGCACCTATGAAGGCCGACACGGCACACGAGGGGGTGGGTGTGCCGACACCACGCCCGACCGCCTTTGTCTCCCCAGTGGCGATGTTTACTACACACTGCACCAGGAACTCGTTTGAGGCTGAGTCGACCTTGGGGAGGAGGCCCCGGACCGGTTCAGATAATCGTCACCGGGTATTGGTGGCCTTGAGTGTGACTCGAACTCGGGTGGCCGGGTTGGTAGTGCGGTGACTGGGAATTCGCCTGTGTGGTCCCTGGCCTGCGAGGTCACGGCAGGATGTCTACTGTTGTGGGTACACCCGGGACACACGCGGCATAGTACCGGACCTAGTGGGGGCTTGGCTGAGCGCTGGTTCAGCGCGGTGGCACCACGCAACGGCGTGCGGTGCGGGCTCCCGTTGAGGGAGCGAGGGAGCGTCAGCCAGCCGGGGTTACGTTGGGGGCACGATACTCTGGCTGACCTGGGGACACGTGACCGGATGATACTGGAGGGGGGGGGGGGCGGGCACCGGCGGAGGGGGGCCAATGGGTGGTCACGTGGTCCGGGAAGAACTCTCGAGAGCCTTCGGGCAAGGGCGAGAGAGATAGAGAAGGTGGGAGGGGCGAGAGAGATGGAGAAGGTGGGCGGGGCGAGAGAGATCTAGAAGGTGGGCGGGGCGAGAGAGATCTAGAAGGTGGGCGGGGCGAGAGAGATCTAGAAGGTGGGCGGGGCGAGAGAGATCTAGAAGGTGGGCGGGGCGAGAGAGATCTAGAAGGTGGGCGGGGCGAGAGAGATCTAGAAGGTGGGCGGGGCGAGAGAGATGGAGGTGGGCGGGGCGAGAGAGATGGAGAAGGTGGGCGGGGCGAGAGAGATGGAGAAGGTGGGCGGGGCGAGAGGCGGAGCCAGCCCCAGCCCGGCCCGCTATAAGGGGGGTGCCCTGAGATGGGCTCAGGGTTCTTGCTGTTGGAGAGGCAGGGGATCCACGTCAAGCTGAAGAAGCCTCCAGCCACGCGGTCCGGGACCCAGCTTACGGTCCGGACCGGGATAGCGGAACCGTGTCTAGTTCTGCCGTAGCGTGGTTAGTTGGGCATTCAACACCCAAGTGTAGGTTGTGTTAATAGCCTGGCGTGTGTTGTGTTAGTAGCCTGGAGTGTGTTGTGTTAATAGCCTGGCGTGTGTTGTGTTAATAGTCTGGCGTGTGTTGTGTTAGTAGCCTGGAGTGTGTTGTATTAATAGCCTGGAGTGTGTTGTGTTAATAGCCTGGAGTGTGTTGTATTAATAGCCTGGAGTGTGTTGTGTTAATAGCCTGGAGTGTGTTGTGTTAATAGCCTGGAGTGTGTTGTATTAATAGCCTGGGGTGTGTTGTGTTAATAGCCTGGAGTGTGTTGTGTTAATAGCCTGGGGTGTGTTGTGTTAGTAGCCTGGAGTGTGTTGTGTTAATAGCCTGGAGTGTGTTGTATTAATAGCCTGGAGTGTGTTGTGTTAATAGCCTGGAGTGTGTTGTATTAATAGCCTGGAGTGTGTTGTGTTAATAGCCTGGAGTGTGTTGTGTTAATAGCCTGGAGTGTGTTGTGTTAATAGCCTGGGGCGTGTTGTGTTAATAGCCTGGATTGTGTTGTGTTAATAGCCTGGGGTGTGTTGTGTTAATAGCCTGGGGTGTGTTGTGTTAATAGCCTGGGGTGTGTTGTGTTAATAGCCTGGAGTGTGTTGTGTGAATAGCCTGGAGTGTGTTGTGTCAATAGCTTGGAGTATGTTGTGTCAATAGCCTGGAGTGTGTTGTGTTAATAGCCTGGAGTGTGTTGTGTTAATAGCTTGGAGTATGTTGTGTTAATAACCTGGAGTGTGTTGTGTTAATAGCCTGCAGTGTGTTGTGTTAATAGCCTGGAGTGTGTTGTGCTAATAGCCTGGAGTGTGTTGTGTTAATAGCCTGGAGTGTGTTGTGTTAATAGCCTGGAGTGTGTTGTGTTAATAGCCTGGAGTGTGTTGTGTTAATAGCCTGGAGTGTGTTGTGTTAATAGCCTGGAGTATGTTGTGTTAATAACCTGGAGTGTGTTGTGTTAATAACCTTGAGTGTGTTGTGTTAATAGCCTGGAGTGTGTTGTGTTAATGGCCTAGAGCATGTTGTGTTAATAGCCTGTAGTATATTGTGCTAAGAGTTTAATAAAAGGTGTTGCTCTCAAGACAACGTCTGCGACTCAGTTGGACTCACTACAGTAGCTCTAACCACTACACCACCGCTCTCCACGTGAACACACACACGGAGACTCAACAACAACAACAACAACCGCCATTCGCCACTAAGTGGCGGTGACGTCACCACGACGCTTGTGCCAGGCTATGTGCACCCTGAGGCCACGTGAAGTGTCGAACGCCCGCTGGCAGGTGGTCACGGGGCAGACCCAGGTGCCACGGGTCGACTGACTGAGATGACTGGCTGATGCACCACCTGTGCCCCCTACTGTGCCAACCTGCTGTGCTTTAGCCACCCGGCGCTCCGCTCGCTGTTGTGAGCGTCGCTCCTCCGCCCTCCGTTGTTGTTGGAGGGCGACTGCCTCCAACTGCCCAGTAGCATCCTTCACGAGCCTCCTCCACAGAGGCCGATCTTGACACCGCTGGTACCAGTCATCGGCAAGTCCACTCAGCTCCACGTCCTCCTGTACCACATCACTCCATCTCTTCTCTAGCCCGTGCCACGCCCGTTTAGCCCCCTCAATCCGGCCAAACAAAAGCTGTTTCGGCATGCGGTGGCTGGGCATGCGGGCTACATGACCCAGCCATCGCAGCCTTGCCTGCCGGAGGAGCTCACCGATGGGACCCTGCCCAGATCTTTCAAGGATTTGTGAGCTCCTCACACAATCCAGTCTGGTTAAACCCAGGATGGATCGTAGGCAGGCCAGCCTAAATGTTTCTAACCGGCGAAGATGTTCCATTAGGGGGGTCCACGTTTCGCAAGCGTAGAGAAGGGAGGGAATGACCGTGGCCGAGAAGACCTGAAGCTTAGTGCGGAGCGACAGACCAGGTAGCTTCCACACAGCGTTATGCAACCGATGAAAAGATATTGCCGCTCGACTGATTCGGAGTGAGACCTCTGCTGTTAAACTGGAGCCAGTCATAAGCACACTGCCCAGGTATGGGAAACTCTCCACTCTCTCCACAACTGCCCCATCACCGATTGGGAGTTGTGGGGGTGGAGTGTCCGATGGTACAAAATACCCAGGCAGGTGCTTAGTTTTGGTGGGGCTGATGGTAAGGCCCCACCTCTTAGTGGCATGCTCCAGTCTCAGCAGCAGCGTCTCCAACTCCTCCTCTGACTGAGCAGCTATTACCAAGTCATCAGCATACATAACGTGGTTGAGCAATAGGGAGCCATCCCTTGACCGCACCCGGGCATCGATTAGCCTCCCATTATATCTGTACCATATGGAGATTCCCCCGGTACAGCTATTGAAGGCTTCACGAACTACGTGGTCAAAATAGATGTTAAATAATGTGGGAGCCAGAGGACATCCCTGTCGCACCCCAAGGTGTACAGGGAATGGCTCTGACTCCCGGCCACGTAGTTTTACCCGGGCCCGCTCACCATCATGAAGGTCTTTAATGATCGTGAGCAGAGGGTCAGGTACTCCAAAAGCACGAAGAACGACCCAGAGCCCAGGCCTACTGATGGTATCATAGGCCTTGACCAGGTCAATAAAGCAGAGATGTAGGTCTTGTTGGAATTCCCTACACCTCTGCTGTAGCAGACGGACAGAAAATATGGCATCTGTGCAGGACCGCCCTTTCCTGAAACCGCATTGGGGCTCCGCAAGCCTCTCCTCAGCGTGTCTGGCAAGGCGATGCTGAATAATCCTTGCCAGGACCTTTCCCGGCACACTGAGGAGTGAGATGCCCCTGTAGTTGTTACAGTCTGTGCGGTCCCCCTTCTTAAAAAGGGGGACCACCAGGGCATCCTTCCAATCCTGCGGAACCCGTCCAGTGGTCCAGACTGTTGTTATGATGTCATATAGGGCAGTCTGTGCACAAACGCCACCCTCCCTCAGCATTTCGCTTGGGAGATCATCTCTGCCCGCTGCCTTTCCTGGTCTCAGACTCCGGATCGCCTTCAATACTTCCTCAGCAGATGGCACCTCAGCCAGCCACTCACAGGGGGTGACTTCATCCAATATTTGAGGCACCGCAGCCTCAGCAGGGTCATCCTCACTTTGTGCCACGGTGTTTTCCTGGCTGAGGGATTTTCCCTCCCCCAGGACCTCACAGAAATGCTCAGCAAATCTGCGAACCTGTTCCTGGGGGTCGGAAATTGGATCACCGTTTTTTCCCCTAATGATGGTAATAGGTGTGGTGCTGCAGGTTACTTTTTTGATGGAGTTAAATAGAGATTTGTGATCACGGGCCACTGAGGCAGACTCCATCTCCTCAGCAACCCGCGACCACCACCCATCCTTGCAGCGCCTCACGGCTCTCCGAACCTCCGAGCGAAGGCTGCAGTAAGCCTCCTCATTCTCTGACGTGGGATTCTGTAGCCGATGACAGTGGGCCTGTCGCTTTTTCTCAACCATCCTGAACAACTCCTCTGTCATCCAGGGTGTCTGGGGAGGTCTGGACCGCGTACCCAAAGCAGCCATTGCAGCTGCATGAGTCACAGTCCTAAACCTCGCCCATTTACCCTCGACATCAGGAGGAGTCGGGGACGATGCCAATCCCAGCCGCAAGCGATGATGAAATTCTCGCTTGCAACTTTCATCAGATAACTGAGACCAGGCCACTTTAGGTTGGAATGGGGTCCTGGGTGTACACCCGCCACCGACACACACGGAGACTCACACACACTCACACACACGGAGACTCGCACACACTCACACACACGGAG